TGTATTCCTGGACGTTTTTGAGTCGACTCAAAAGTCCCCATGCAGACGTATTCCTGGACGTTTTTGAGTCGACTCAAAAGTCCCCATGCAGACGTATTCCTGGACGTTTTTTAGTCGACTCAAAAGTCCCCATGCAGACGTATTCCTGGACGTTTTTGAGTCGACTCAAAAGTCCCCATGCAGACGTATTCCTGGACGTGCCGGATCGGTTGCACCTCTCGCACCCGAGGGGCAAGGGGCTGCAGCTGGGGGAGCAGGAGCCTTGAGACGTCTCAAGACTCCCCCCACTCCCACCACTCTCCCCACTCCTGCTCCCTCCGCTCCCCCTGCTCCCTCCGCTCCCCCTGCTCCCCTCATTCTCTCTCTTCCAGATGTCTTCCTGGACGTGCCTGATCGGTTGGACCTCTCACATCTGAGGGGCAGGGGGCTGCAGCCGGGCGAGCAGGAGCTGCCAGAAGGTGAGAAAGAGGGGGGAGAGGGGGTGGTGACTACTTTTGAGACGTCTCAAAAGCCACCTCTCACATCTGAGGGGCAAGGGGTTGCAGCCGGGGGAGCAGGAGCTGCCAGAAGGTGAGAATAAGGGCGAAGAGAGGGGGGAAAGAGGGTGGAAAGGGGTGGGTGGGTGAAAACAGGTTTTTAAACCCTCTTGAATGGAACGTTCGGTAAGGTGGGAGAAATGGGAGGAAAGAGGGGGGGGGTTAGATGCTCCGTTAATGCATGGAGAGACAGTTCGGTTTTCAACTAGGGGAGCAGGAGCTGCCAGAAGGTGAATTCTTTTTTCTTCTATTTGTAGGTGCCCTTCTGTTGCTTCTTTAGGCGCCTCAACAATATTGCTCCCGCACACACCCCCCATTCTCCTCACTTCCTCTCTCACCCCCTTCCACCAGACTCAGCGGGAGGTGCGGGCGCAGGGCAAGGAGCAGCCGCAGCAGGAGCAGCATCACCAGGGCCAGCAGTGCAGCAGGCGGACGAGGTGGTGGTGGTGGTGACGTCGCTGGAGTGCATGGAGTTTCTCGCTTCCTTCACTTCTCCCCCCCCCCCCCCCCCCCCTTTCTCTTTCTCCCCCACTTCCCCGCACCACTTCCTCTCTTTGAACAGATGCAGCAGGAGAAGCAGGGTCAGGGCAAGTAGCAGCAGCAGAGCCCGGGCCAGCAGTGCTGCAGGCGGACGAGGTGGTGGTGGCATCGCTGGAAAGCATGGGGTTCCCCCCTCACCACGCCCTCTGTTCTCCTACCTTCTGCCCCCACCGCCTTTTTCCTTCCTCCAGACGCGGCAGGAGGTGAGGCCGCAGGCAAGGAGCAGCAGCAGCAGCAGCAGCAGCAGCAGAGCCCGGGCCAGCAGTGCTGCAGGCGGACGAGGTGGTGGTGGCATCGCTGGAAAGCATGGGATTCCTCTCTCCATCCTGTTTCTCCTCACCCCCCCCCCGCCCCCACTACTGCCTCTCTCTTAACAGATGCAGCAGGTTCGGGGCAAGCAGACGGAGCAGCAGCGGCAGCAGCAGAGCCCGGGCCAGCAGTGCTGCAGGCAGACGAGGTGGTGGTGGCATCGCTGGAGAGCGTGGGGTTCCTCCCTCCCTCCATCCTCCCTTTCTCCCTGCCCCCACCACCCCTTCTTTTTGAACAGATGCAGCAGGTTCGGGCCAAGCAGGAGCAGCAGCAGCAGCATCACCCGAGCCAGCAGTGCTGCAGGCGGACGAGGTGGTGGTGGCGTCACTGGAGAGCATGGGGTTCCTCCCTTCCTCACCCACACACACACCCTCTTTTTCTCCTCCCTTCCCCTCTGGTCTCCCCTCTCCTTCCACCAGACGCATCAGCAGGTGCAGGCGGGGCCCAAGCAGCAGCAGCATCACCCGGGCCGGCAGTGCTGCAGGCGGACGAGGTGGTAGTGGCGTCACTGGAGAGCATGGGGTTCCCGCGCGTGCGCTGTGAGAAGGCGGCGGTGCTGACGGGCAATGTGGGGGTGGAGGAGGCGGCCAACTGGATCTTCGAACACATGGACGATGCTGGTAGGACTCGCTGTGATTTCTTAGACAGCTTACAAATCATGCTTGCGCTTGTACAAGGCGGCGGCGGTGCTGACGGGCAATGCGGGAGTGGAGGAGGCGGCCAACTGGATCTTCGAACACATGGACGACGCTGGTAAGGTTTTGGTCAATAGGGGTCTTGCGTGTAATGCTCATCCATCAGCGTAAGAGGTTAATCTATCAGTTCAAGGATCATGTGTGTGCTGTGAGAAAGCGGTGGTGCTGACGGGCAATGAGGGAGTGGAGGAGGCGGCTAACTGGATCTTCGAACACATGGACGACACAGGTAGGGCTGTGCTTCGTTGATAGGGGTTGCCTGCTTCTGCTTTGAACTGTTTTTCAGATTCTTGTCAGGGCTTTCTTTTTCTTCTTCGGTTTCAGGTACGGTTGGTTAATTCTCCTGGATTTGATTCTGATCATACAACTGCAAGGTTCTGGCCTGAATGCAGTCTATATGTCACTCGTTTGTGCACCTGTTTCCCACCCTTCCCATCCTCGACTCCCTCGCCTTACTTTCCTCTGCTGCAGACATTTGACGAGCCACTCCCCCCACCAGGAGCCCCATCCTTGGCAAGAGCTTTTAAGAATTTTAGAATTCACAGAGCCGACTCAGAGATATTCCCACCCTTCTCGTCCTCCCCTCCCTCGCTCTGCCCTCCTCTGCTGCAGACATTGACGAGCCACTCCCCCCACCTGGAGCCCCATCGGGAGCACCAGCAGCAGCACCAGCAGCGGCGGCGGTGGACGAGGTGTCTCTGGCAACGCTCATGTCCTTTGGTTTCTCCAACACTGCTGCTCGCAACGCACTCACTGCCACTGTGAGCGATCTTCTGTACCTTTCTCTCACCGTCTCTGTTTGAGGCGCCTCAAAGGTGGACGAGGGCGCTCGGGCAACGCCCATGTCCCTTGGTTTCTCGGACACCGCTGCTCGCAATGCTCTCACTGCCTCGTTGTCTGCCCCCTCGCTGGGGTTGTTTCGGCTGGTTATTTTTGTGTTTCAACTACCTACTCTCAAGCCGCCCCCTTGTGTTTCCGCTGCCCTCGTCCTAACCGACCATCAACCTTCACCCTGTTACCGCTGCTTACATTGCTCTTTCACCTCACTCCCCATTTTCCTCTTTCCTTTCGACTGCGGGGAGGGGGTGTGGAGAGGGCAGCGGATTGGATCCTGAACAACCCAGCAGAAGCGAACTTCGAGTCGACTCCAACGCTGCTGCTGCCTGCAATTCTTCCTCACCCCACTCTTCGTTTCCCTCTTTTTCTATCTACTGCAGGGAGGCGATGTGGAGCGGGCAGCGGATTGGATCCTGAACAACCCAGCAGAAGCAGAAGCTCCTCCTGCTGCTGCTGCGGCTGCAGAACCCACTCCCATGGATGTGCAACCTTCAGGAAATGGAGCAGCGTCAGCCGTTGATCCGACAGCCAGAGTGTCAGATGGCCCTGGAAGTAAGTCATTCTCAATCCTTCCCTTATCCATTCCCTATCACACTCTCCCCCTCATTTGTCTTGTTCCTATTCGTCCTCCTCCTCCCCACGTTTCCTACAGGACAGGTAGTTTGCCTTCCTCTGGTGGCGGCTGCATTGCTGCGTTGCTGCCCCCGTTGTCTTCTCTACTTCTGCCCATCTACACCTCCTCTCCCCCCTCCCCACTCTCCCCCTCTCCCCTCTCCCCGCTCTCTCCCTCTCCCCCCTCTCCTCTCCCCTCTCCCCCCTCTCCTCTCCCCTGCACAGCCTACGAACTGTTTGCATTTGTGAGTCACATGGGGGCGAACACGCAGTGTGGGCACTACGTGGCACACATTCGCAAGGGGCCGGGGGGCGAGTGGGTGCTGTTCAATGATGCTAAAGTGGCTGTGTCTCAAGACCCACCCAAGGACATGGGCTATCTCTACTTCTTCCACCGCTGTCCTGCTGGTCCTGCTCCTGCTGACGCCTCCAGCTAGCTGGATTCAGCCAGGCATGCCTGCTAGCTCTGCTCCTGGTGGCTTGCGAGTGGGTGCTGTTCAACGATGCCAAGGTGGCCGTCTCCCAGGACCCACCCAAGGACATGGGCTACCTCTACTTCTTCCGCCGCTGCTCCGCTTCTGCTGAAGGAGCCTCCAGCTAGCTAAAGCCATTTTTGTTTCAGCTTGATACCGTACCTGTTCCTGCACACAAGCACCAACCGGCAGCTGGAGGGGCATCTTCACCAACCGAGTTTTGTTTGCGCCTGGAGATTGCTTCAGCTGACTGCAATGAGATGAGACATGTACCGTATTATGTCGCAGGAGGCAGCTGAGCTCTGCACGTTGCAGAATTTTTTCCCCCTGCTGATCTGCTGGTTTCTGCTCATTCCCGCTTTTCTTAGCCGTTGCTATTTACAACACTGCTTCCAGATATGTTTAGCACAATGGCTTGGCTTGGGTGTGATGCTGGTTTCTGGCTGTGCTGCTGCAACTCATGCTTTACCCTGTTAGAAAGCGAAACCACCATGAAACTGTGTAAACGTTAGCAGGCAAACTTGGAACCAAATGCGTGTGAAAACGTTTTGTGGTTAATGAACGCGAAATGAGGCTCCTTTTTCAGTCCGAAAGAGCATATCCATCTTGTGTAATACGGTAATACCACCACTAATGCTGCATCCGGTCTACACTCGTTGGATATCATTAGCACAGAACCAGTACCAGAACCGGTACGTACATTCCTCCCTTCACACCCGCACATGCCTCCTTCCACTCCTGCTTACTTGCCTTCACTGATCTCAGAGTTGCCTTGAGCTCTGCAAAAAGCTTTGTGTTTTGAGTCGACTCAAAAGAGAATCTGTGCTCCTTCCTCCCTTCACACCAGCACATGTCTCACCACCCTTCACTCCTGCTTGCTTGCCTTGGCTGATCTCAGAGTTGCCTTGAGCTTCGCGAAAAGCTTTGTGTTTTGAGTCAACTCAAAAGAGAACCTGTGCTCCTTCCTCCCTTCGCACCAGCACATGTCTCACCGCCCTTCACTCCTGCTTACTCGCCTTGGCTGATCTTAAAGTTGCCTTGAGCTCTGCGAAGAACTTCCTCTCCCAATGCCACCTGAAGGTGGAAATACGGGGGGGTGAGGAACGGGGAGATGAGGGGGGGAACAACAGGGGGACACGGGGAAGGAAGGGAATCGTGGCAGAGTTGATTAAGAGGGGACTGTTCAGTCGACTCGAAAAGAGGGGACGAGGGAGGGAAAATGAGAGACGGAGGAAGTAGCCAGAGCCTCCTCACTGGCAGCCATGACAACAAAGTGCAGCGGTGGGGGACATGTGGCTTACCAATAACAGCATTCTTACCCCATGTCCCCTCCTTAACATTCCCACATACCTTCCCTCTCTCCCAACCCTCGAGCCCTTAAGCCCCTCCCACAGCAATGCCTCTGTCTCCTACTTTTTCCCCGAGGCTTCCCTCTTCGCACTCACAATGCGCCAATTACGGCAGCAATGCACAGCGCGCCAATAGCAATGTTACTACATGCCCCATGCCCTTCCCCTCCTTCGTTTTCTTCTCCTTTTTCCTCATGCCCTTCCTTCAGACTCACAATGCGCCCATGACAGCTGCAAAGCACAGCGCGCCAATAGCAATGTGGGTGAGGGAGGCCGGGGAGAACGGGGAGGGAAGGGAGGCAGGAGAGGTGTAGCTGCCGCGAAAGAGGAGGAGGTGCTGAGATGCAAAGGAGATGAGGGATGCTGCTGCGAAGGATGCGAGGACTGGGAAGGATGGCAGCGATTGCCACAGGGAGAAGTTGGACGTTGTCTGGGGGGAGGGAGACAAGGAGGGAGGGATGGGGGGAGGGAAGGAGGAGAGAGGGGATTATTTTTTAGGAGACTAAAAAGGAGGCTGCTGCGAAGGATGCAAGCACTGGGAGGCAGGGCAGCGAGTGCCACAGAGAGAAGTTGGGCGTTGCCTGGGAGGGGGGGGGAGAGGGAGGGAGGAGGGGAGGGGGGGAGGGAGGTGGGGAGGGAGAGAGAGGACAAGATGGGGTGATATATACTACGTTAGATGGTCTGACCAAACATATAACAGAACTAGCAGTCTGACCAGTGGGATGCATCGAGAAATACAACTCAACTGTCGATCTTCCGCTAAATGATTCTTTCTAAACTGCAGAGCGCCCAGGGCAATCTTCATGGCTTTCCACGCCAGTGGGATGAACAGATACGTTTTGAGACGCCTCCAAACTCGCCAGTTGTGAGATGCTTGCAACATCAAGGTAAAGAAGGCACCTTGAAGTATTGACTGATGAAAGTGGCCGAATATGCGATCCTCATTGCCATGTCTGCGACGGGTAACACACACAACACGGGAAGCGCAACACGAGAATGTGTCTTGCCTTCTCACAAGAAAAAATAACAAAGAACAAGAAAGGAGAAAAGCAAGCAAGAAAGAAAGAAAGAACAAGAGAAAACAAGAAGTTGACGCACGGAGGGGAGAAGGGGGAGGGAGGGGGGAAGGAGGGGAGGGGAAGACGGAGGAGGGGAGGGGAAGACAGAGGAGGGGAGGGGAAGAAAGCCCACGCACTGCAGCAGTTGGCGAGGATGAGTCCGGGGGAAGAAGCCACACGAATGAGCAGAGCGCTGAGCGCCATGTGCAGCAGCGAGAAGAGCAGCAGCCACCCGTTCGACTGCGCCAGCTGCCTCTCACTCAGCACCGCGTGCACGAACGCCTCCGTGGTGCCTGGTGACGGAATGCGAGAGTAGAGGGAGGGGGTAGGGGGGAAAGAAGGGGTTCTGGGTCAACGGCCCGTACTGGACTGCGCTAGCTGCCTCTCACTCAGCACCGCGTGCACGAACGCCTCTGTGGTGCCTGCACGGAATGGGTGCAGTGGTGTTATGATGGGTTGAGAGCTTGGCGGTGGCTCACACTGCCTCAGCTGCCTCTCACTCAGGACAGTGTGCACTAACGCATCTGTGATGCCTGGTGATGGAATGGGGACAACAATGGAGGAGGGGATGAGCGGATGTGGGAAATGGTGAATTAGAGAACTCTGAGGCTCGTATTGGACTGAGCTAGCTGCCTCTCACTCAGCACCATGTGCGCAAACGCCTGCATGGAAGGCAGGGAGGAGTGGGGAACGGGGGGGTTAGAGGGGCCGGGGAGAGTCGAGGTTCAGAGAGGGAGGGGTGGTGTGGATTTGGCCCAAGAGTGCGAGCACCATGATGTAGGGGCAACTTTTGAGGCGCCTCAAAAGATTTGGCCCAGGAGCGCGAGCACCATGATGTAGGGGGCAGTAGCAGGCGAGTGAGAGTGGCTCTCTGATTTTCCTTCCGTGCTCCCTTTTCCCATCCCGTTCCTCCCCCCCCCTCCCCTCTTCTTCTCACCGGTGAGGGTGAAGCGCCATAATGAAGGGGCAGTGGCAGGCGAGGGAGAGCAAAACATAGGTCTCTTCTGACTCAGTCCTAGTGTCCGCCTTTCCAACTCCTCCCCACCTCTTCCTTTGAGCCCATTCAATCCTTCCTCTCACCGGTGAGTGCTTGGCATGATGTAGGGGCAGTGGCAGGCGAGGGAAAGCGGTGGAGTGCGGGGAGTCATCTGCCTTCTCATTCTATAGAGCTCTGCTGCACGTCCGTCCCCTTCCACCCCTCTCACCGTTGAGAGCGAGTGCCATGATGTAAGGGCAGTAGCAGGCGAGGGAGAGTGAGAAGCCTTTCTCTCACTCATTCCAAATCTCTGCCTTTCCTATTTTCCCCTCACTCATCAGCCCATCCATGCCCACCTCCTCCTCTCACCGTTGAGTGCGAATGCCATGGTGTCGGGGCAGTAGCAGGCGAGGGAGAGCAGGGGAGAGAGCATGAGAGAGCACAGGAGGGAGCGCACAGGAGTGCGGCGAAGGGATGCATCTCACTCGTTCTAGAGAGCTCTGCCCCTCCTCTCACCGTTGAGAGCAAGGGCCATGATGTAGGGGCAGAAGCAGGCGAGTGAGAGTGAGAAGCCTTTCTCTCACTCATTCCAAATCTCTGCCTTTCCTATTTTCCCCTCACCCATCAGCCCATCCATGCCCACCTCCTCCTCTCACCGTTGAGAGCAAGGGCCATGATGTAGGGGCAGTAGCAGGCGAGTGAGAGTGGTGCCTCGGTGGCGGTCCAGGTGGGGCCGTAGAGCAGCGAGAGCAGCGAGTAGGAGAAGGGCGGCCCGAACGCCACGAATATGAGACCTGCAGAGGGAGGGGGAAGCGGGGGAGGGGGAAAAGGTTGAGAATGAAAGCGAGAGCAGCGAGTAAGAGAAGGGCGGCCCGAAAGACAGGAATATGAGACCTGAGGAGGGGGAGGAGCAGGGGGGAGGAGGGGGGTGGGAGGGGGAGGAGAGGAGATGCGATGTGATGGCAGGTGACAGTGGGAGCGAGAGCAGAGAGAAGGATAAATCAGACTGAAAGGCAGACTAAACACCACGCACACGAAACCTTCTTGCTAGACGAGCAGTGGAAGCAGATAGTGGGAAATCAGGAGGCGAACACTAGGCAAAGGCATCTTAACACCCTGTTCGCCTCCTAATGCTCCACTATCTGCATCCTCTGCTCGTCTAATGATGCACGTACACACGCACACAGTCAGACTCTGAGAACAGGGCAGACACGGAGTGATGGACAATGGCTTGCAGATACAGGCTGGGTTACCCTTGGCCTTGGCACACGAGGTAAAAGACAACCTTACCCTGGTCACTGCCTTGCCATTACATGCGAATTTAGAGTCGACTGGTTAGTCAAGCCAACCCAGCTAACCTAGCGCGTTCACAGGCTTCACTGCCAGTAGCAGCACTCTGGCCACTGACTTCTTCCCAGCCTTGGAATTACGGGTGAATCTAGAGCCAAGCCAAAAGTCAACCCAACCCAGCTCACCTAGCACGTTCACAGCCTTCACTGCCAGTAGCAGCGCCACCGACTCTTGCCGCACCCTTGCATTGCTGCCTAGCAAAGGGGGGTCTGTTTTTTATGCGCCTAAGAAATCAGTCGATTTCAACGGTCAACCCAAGCCAGCTCACCTAACACGTTCACAGCCTTCACTGCCAGCAGCAGCACTCTGGCTACTGATTCCCGCCCCGCCTTTGCATTACTGCCTGAGAGGGGGGAGCATGGGGAGCAATCGGGGGAGAGAGGGGGAAAAGGAGGAGGGGAGCGGGGGTGGATTGGGGGAGGTGGCAGGGAGTGAAAGCAGGGTGGGGAAAAGGTAAAGGAGCAATAGCAAAAGGAGAAGGCTTCAAGAGGCGTGGGGGAAGGGTAAGTGGAAGGGGGAGTGGAGTTGGGGAGGAGTGGGAATGGAGTAGCTGGGGAGCAGGGCGGAGCTGCAAAGGAGTGGGTGAGAGGAGGCGATGCTTCCCATCCCATCCCATCTCATCATCCTTGCAAATCAGACAGTTCTCTCCTCACACAACCCCTGCACTTTTCCTCCTCACCTTCCTTCCCGGCAGTGTCAGCAGCATGAGCGGTGTGAGACGCGGAGGCAAGGGAGGGAGCAGTGCGGGCGAATATGATGAACGCACTCTCCTCGAATGGCTGCAGGACAGACCGCACCACGAGACTGCCTGCCATCGCGTGGCGTGGTGTGGCGTGGTGTGGTGTGGTGTGGTGTCGCATGGTGATGCATTGCAATGGGTGAGAAAAAACAGTTATGGATGGGCATGGCATGGCATGGCACGGAATGGCATGAAAATGGGTGGAGAAAGGAAGAGCAAACAAAGTGTCTTGTGAAACTGAATCCCGTGAATAAGTGGCATGACGTGGCATGACATAGCATGACATAGCATGGCATGGCATGGCATGGCATGGCATGGCATGGCATGGCATGGTATGGCACGGCATGTACTGGTTTGCTCTTTCACTTTACTCATCCTTACACATACAACGAACACCCACTAGCCACGCACCCAGCTTCACCACAAGCCCATACACGCCCTGGTTAAACGAGCTCTCCCCATAAGCCATCTCTATACCCACCAAACCACCACCCACTACCCACCACCCACGCATCACCGCCCAGCCACGCACCCAGCTTGACCACGAGCCCATACACACCCTGGTTGTACGCGCTCTCCATGGCCACCAGCACCTCAAAAGCCTTCTCTTCACCCATACAGCACCCACCCACCCACTGCCACCACCACCACCACCACTACCAGCACCATCACCAGCAGCACCACCAGCACAACCATCAACACACCCAGCTTGACCGCGAGTCCGTACACGCCCTGGTTGTACGCACTCTCCATGGCCACCAGAACCATCTCGTCGCCCTTCCCCAGCACCTGCTTCACCGCTGCCTAGCCCATACACGCCCTGGTTCTACACACTCTCGAGAGCCACCTTCTGAGGCACTCCAAAGGCCTTCTCTTCACCCATACAACGCCCTCACAAACGCCAGCACAACCATCAACGCACCCAGCTTGACCACGAGCCCATACACGCCCTGGTTGTACGCGCTCTCCATGCATTTCTGTACCAATACAACACCCACCCACCCAACCAACCCCAAGCAGCAACGCACCCAGCTTGACCACGAGCCCGTACACGCCCTGGTTGTACGCGCTCTCCATGCATTTCTGTACCAATACAACACCCACCCACCCAACCAACCCCAAGCAGCAACGCACCCAGCTTGACCACGAGCCCGTACACGCCCTGGTTGTACGCGCTCTCCATGCATTTCTGTACCAATACAACACCCACCCACCCAACCAACCCCAAGCAGCAACGCACCCAGCTTGACCACGAGCCCGTACACGCCCTGGTTGTACGCGCTCTCCATGCATTTCTGTACCAATACAACACCCACCCACCCAACCAACCCCAAGCAGCAACGCACCCAGCTTGACCACGAGCCCGTACACGCCCTGGTTGTACGCGCTCTCCATGCATTTCTGTACCAATACAACACCCACCCACCCAACCAACCCCAAGCAGCAACGCACCCAGCTTGACCACGAGCCCGTACACGCCCTGGTTGTACGCGCTCTCCATGCATTTCTGTACCAATACAACACCCACCCACCCAACCAACCCCAAGCAGCAACGCACCCAGCTTGACCACGAGCCCGTACACGCCCTGGTTGTACGCGCTCTCCATGCATTTCTGTACCAATACAACACCCACCCACCCAACCAACCCCAAGCAGCAACGCACCCAGCTTGACCACGAGCCCGTACACGCCCTGGTTGTACGCGCTCTCCATGCATTTCTGTACCAATACAACACCCACCCACCCAACCAACCCCAAGCAGCAACGCACCCAGCTTGACCACGAGCCCGTACACGCCCTGGTTGTACGCGCTCTCCATGCATTTCTGTACCAATACAACACCCACCCACCCAACCAACCCCAAGCAGCAACGCACCCAGCTTGACCACGAGCCCGTACACGCCCTGGTTGTACGCGCTCTCCATGCATTTCTGTACCAATACAACACCCACCCACCCAACCAACCCCAAGCAGCAACGCACCCAGCTTGACCACGAGCCCGTACACGCCCTGGTTGTACGCGCTCTCCATGCATTTCTGTACCAATACAACACCCACCCACCCAACCAACCCCAAGCAGCAACGCACCCAGCTTGACCACGAGCCCGTACACGCCCTGGTTGTACGCGCTCTCCATGCATTTCTGTACCAATACAACACCCACCCACCCAACCAACCCCAAGCAGCAACGCACCCAGCTTGACCACGAGCCCGTACACGCCCTGGTTGTACGCGCTCTCCATGCATTTCTGTACCAATACAACACCCACCCACCCAACCAACCCCAAGCAGCAACGCACCCAGCTTGACCACGAGCCCGTACACGCCCTGGTTGTACGCGCTCTCCATGCATTTCTGTACCAATACAACACCCACCCACCCAACCAACCCCAAGCAGCAACGCACCCAGCTTGACCACGAGCCCGTACACGCCCTGGTTGTACGCGCTCTCCATGCATTTCTGTACCAATACAACACCCACCCACCCAACCAACCCCAAGCAGCAACGCACCCAGCTTGACCACGAGCCCGTACACGCCCTGGTTGTACGCGCTCTCCATGCATTTCTGTACCAATACAACACCCACCCACCCAACCAACCCCAAGCAGCAACGCACCCAGCTTGACCACGAGCCCGTACACGCCCTGGTTGTACGCGCTCTCCATGCATTTCTGTACCAATACAACACCCACCCACCCAACCAACCCCAAGCAGCAACGCACCCAGCTTGACCACGAGCCCGTACACGCCCTGGTTGTACGCGCTCTCCATGCATTTCTGTACCAATACAACACCCACCCACCCAACCAACCCCAAGCAGCAACGCACCCAGCTTGACCACGAGCCCGTACACGCCCTGGTTGTACGCGCTCTCCATGCATTTCTGTACCAATACAACACCCACCCACCCAACCAACCCCAAGCAGCAACGCACCCAGCTTGACCACGAGCCCGTACACGCCCTGGTTGTACGCGCTCTCCATGCATTTCTGTACCAATACAACACCCACCCACCCAACCAACCCCAAGCAGCAACGCACCCAGCTTGACCACGAGCCCGTACACGCCCTGGTTGTACGCGCTCTCCATGCATTTCTGTACCAATACAACACCCACCCACCCAACCAACCCCAAGCAGCAACGCACCCAGCTTGACCACGAGCCCGTACACGCCCTGGTTGTACGCGCTCTCCATGCATTTCTGTACCAATACAACACCCACCCACCCAACCAACCCCAAGCAGCAACGCACCCAGCTTGACCACGAGCCCGTACACGCCCTGGTTGTACGCGCTCTCCATGCATTTCTGTACCAATACAACACCCACCCACCCAACCAACCCCAAGCAGCAACGCACCCAGCTTGACCACGAGCCCGTACACGCCCTGGTTGTACGCGCTCTCCATGCATTTCTGTACCAATACAACACCCACCCACCCAACCAACCCCAAGCAGCAACGCACCCAGCTTGACCACGAGCCCGTACACGCCCTGGTTGTACGCGCTCTCCATGCATTTCTGTACCAATACAACATCCACCCACCCAACCAACCCCAAGCAGCAACGCACCCAGCTTGACCACGAGCCCGTACACGCCCTGGTTGTACGCGCTCTCCATGGCCACCAGCACCATCTCATCGCCCTTCCCCAGCACCTGCTTCACCAATGCCTGCAGCGAGAACGCACCACACAGCCGCAGCAGCGGCCAGTGCAGCAGCGGGCGGCCTGGGAGCCTGGGAGGTGCGGAGGTGGGGGGTTTGGGAGGTGTAGAGTTGGGGGAGTCAGGGAGTTAAGGGGTATGGGGGAAGGGGGAATGTCAGCACAAGTGGGGGTGTGGGGGGTGGCAAGAATTCTCATGAATCACTCACATAGGACGTGGGGAGCGATGAAGGGCATGGGGAAAGGCACTAGATGGCATGGGAAGTAACGGAATTATTCAATTATGGCACTAGACCCTTCACCAGGACTGGCTTTCTCTCCCCTTCCCCCCCCCCCAATCCCCTCCTCCCTCCCTTCCCTGTCTCTATTTGAAGCTCCTCAGAAACCATCCTGCGTCTCCAGAAACTCACTTGCACGGGAGCAGCGGAATCATGGCACCAGACCCTTCACTAGCACTACCTCCCGCCTCATTCTCTCCTCCTTGCCTTTCCTGCAACTCCCCCCCATCACCTCCCTCCTTTCCCTCCCTCCCAATTGCTCGCCTCCTAAGCCCTCCCTCTCCCTCTCCTCCCCATTCTCCTTTCCCTTCTCCCTCTCCTCCTTCCCCCTCCTGCTTCTTGCTGCCTTCTGCCACATCTCTCTCCTCCTCTCCGCTCTGACTGGGCCTCAGAGCTCGAACGGAGGGGTGGAGAAGGAAGAACCCCCAGTAGCCGATGACAAGGGAGGAGCTAAAGGCCAGCTCTGCATAGGCGAACACAAGCCCTCCCGTCTGCAGAAGAAGGAGAATGAAGGGAAGGTGCAGGAAAGGAGGAATTCAGTGTTACAAGGAACGGATAGGCTAACAGCCAACTCCATCCATACAGGTACCGGCCAGCCCTCCCATCCAGCCAATCGGCCTGCTTTTTGAGTCAACTCAAAGAACGGAAAGGCTAACGGCCAGCTCCATACAGGTACACACCAGCACTCCCATCCAGCCAATCGGCTCGCCTATCCCCCCCTACCCCTACCACTAGCCCCTGCCAATCAACACTCACCCTGCCAATCCCCCCCAGCACCAGCAGCAGCGTCACCACACACCGCACCACCGTTGCAACGGCGTCCAGCACCGCTCTCAACCGCACCAGCAGCAGCGCCTGGGACAGGATATACAGCGGCTCTGATACCAACTCCACTGCTGCTGCCACCCCGTGGAGTAAAATGGCTTGGGCGTAGGGGTCTGAGAGAGGGAGGTGCTGGTAATGCAGGACGAAGGCACAGGCTGCTGCTGCTAGGGAGATGCCTGTGGGGACGACCAGCCACGCTGCTGACACCATCCGCGCCCAGTAGAGGGGGGAAGCGGGGGAGGAGGCGGAGGAGGAGGAAGGGGAGTTGCTGGTGGAGGGGGGTAAGGGGGAAGGGGTTGGGTGGAAAGAAAGAAAGGAAGAAGGGGAATAAGAGGCCAAGACACGGAAAGGGGGGGTGTGGGGGAGGGAAGAGAAACGGAAGAGGTAACGGAGAGCAACGCCAAGAAGAGAAGAGAAGAGAAGAAATAACCAATTAATAAGAGACAAGGAGAGGAGAGAAGAGTAGGGAGGAGGAGAGAGGAGGAGAGACGAGTGCAAGCAGAGTAGGGAACACAAGGAGCAGTCAGCTCACTCATTAACTGTGCTCATTAGCTCATTGTTTGAGTCAATTCGACTCAGAACTCACCCGTCAGCTCGTAGGCAGCCTCTGCGGAAGCCCTCTCTGCTGACAAAGAGAATGGTGGATGTGAGCAGCTGGAACTGCACCGCTGCCATCTGAAAAAAAGGAGGTGAGGGGGAGCAGTGAAGGGAGGGGAAAGGAGAGCCCGTCTCAACAATGGAAGGGAATGGTGGATGTGAGCAGCTGGAACTGCACCGCTTCCATCAGAAAAAGAGGAGGTGAAAGGGGGGTGGGGGGTGTGATTGGGCAGCAGAGGTCTGAATAGCAGGAGCTGTGAAAAAAAAAAAAAGCCTGTGGTCAAAATAGCAGCAATGGTCTGGTCAGACGAGAAGAGCAGCAGGCAGGCGTACCCCAAACTCCTGTGGCGAGAGGCGTCTGGCGATGACAAGATTCATGAGGAATGTTACCACTCGCGACGACACCTGCGACACTGTTGCATAAGGGGGGGGGGGTGGGTGCAGGGGAAGGGAGGGTGAACAGGAAGGTAAGGTGACGGGGAAGTGGAGGGTGAAGGGCAAAAGGAGAGTGAAGCAGGGGAGGAAAGGAGGACGCAACGCACAGAAGCAGCGCAATTTACTAAAAAATGAAAAGGAAGAACAAAAAAGAATATGGCGGAGAAAGAAGTCGAACGATGATTTGGCTGAGATGGATCGGTGGCAGCTAGGCCAATAATCAGAATTTAGTGACCTCTGCGCTGCCTTTACGCTGAAAGCACTAAGCTACTATGTTCGCAAGGCGCCTTCGCCATCCTCTCATAACCGCACTAGACTCATCAGCACCACGGAAGTATTCATGAGAGGAACTCAACCCAGCAGAACCGCACTCAACTCATTAGCTGAATAAAACCGCTCGCGAGCATACGGCCTTCTGTAGACCCGGCCGTAGCACCATCATTAGCAGCCGCGCCTCCCATCTTTCCGCCGACTTTCCACCCGAAATTCCCTGCCTTGCGCCGAAAACGGAACCGACAGCAGCAGCAGCAACAGTGAATGGAAGGATGGAGATAGATAGTAGCAGCGGTGGTACTAAGGCGATACTCTTGTTCACTGGCTTTCTATACTATCGGTTCTTCACAAGTCTATCGTGTTGAGGTTATGTTACGAGAGACCGAGGCGTAACAGGACGTAGCGCGGGTCCGAAGGTGCGAGCTTGCTTGCTTGCTCGAATCAGAGATGGTTCTATGCGCGCAGGAAGACGGGATCGCGTTTTATGTCGTATGCAGAGCAGAACGTCCCAACGCAGCACGTCGCACGTAGCACATCCCGCGGACGCGTGCTAATGGTGTCGCTTCATGCTGGCGTTGTTTCCTCCTGCTCATGCGCTCTTGATGTAGTTGAAGTGGAATCAGGCAGACGTGAACTTAGGGCGTGGTGCTTTTGGCAGAAGTCCCTAAATTTGATTTTTTCAATCGATTTTCACCCTTTTTTAAGTTCGATTATGAGAATTCGAGTCGCGGGGCCAATTTCTGCTAAGTCAAAAGGTGACCATCGAGGGTCGAAAAACGAGATTCGACCTTCTCCGAGTCGCGATGAAAAGTGTAGGTTACCCGATGTAGTCTACGCGGCTCTGGCGTAGTCGTCGAAATACTCATCGTTGATGTCGTCATGATTCGTCAAGTTCGTGAAGCTGCTGATTATACGCAGAAATGACCACGTTCGAAACCACGCTTCGAATCCAAGTTCGAACATGCGTTCGACTGACTGTGTGGTTACTTGACTTACCAGGTCAATAATCGAACGCAGACCTGATTCCATGCGAAGGCTATTGCGACATTCACGAAGCCAGTAACCAGCTCAAGCTCGACCAGTTTTCTGAGGACGCGTCACAATTGTAACACCGGGGGAGATCGGCACCAAACACCGAGAATGTGTGCATCGACTTGCGAAAAAACTTGTCTCAATCTGCAGGAGCAGTTTTGGCTGCTTCCCTGAGCCAAGTGGGACGACATCGGGTTTGCAACTGTACACCCAGCTGCTAGCGCAGGAGCCGTGCGAGTCGCACAATTTCGCATGGCTTGTGACGAGCTAGAAATAGCAAGCTGCTTGCCCAATTGATGGCGACAACGCAGGGTACGAAGTTACCACAACGAAAGTTTCCGACAGTATGCAACGGCGATCGATTGTGGCTGGAACTGGTGGCGTGATTTCGATTCCCGCGCTGTCAAATCGCACGATCGATGTGGCAGTTTGAGCTATCCGACCTTGACAATCTGCGGGTACACGATTGCCGCAACTGGATAAACGAAAACGGGATACATGGCTTCCGCGAAATGGCGAAGACACTGTAGATTGTGCACACCGATATTTCACAGGATCGGTGTTGCAATTGTGACGCGTCCTGAACTTTGAATCAAAAGCACCGCGCCCTTATTGGAATTTGGAAATCTCTAGGCTGGGTGATCAGGTTGGAGTGGAAGCAGGATGCGAAGGTCGGGGGACTCGCTACACTTTTTTTGAGCTACACCTTGATCATCCATATAGTTTTGCGTGTTTTCCAACTATGACACTTGCTCCAAAGAAGGAACAGAATTTGCACACTTGTGCACCACTTGCTTTCGAGTCACTGCTGCTCTCCTTGTGCTCCAGGTAGTGCAAACTGCGAATATCTCAGCATCAGAAGAAGCTTACAAGTATCTAAATTTGGAGTAGCATGGCACCACAGTATCACATGTAATCCACAGCATCTATGACTAAGGGCCTCCTAACCTAGTGTCAGAGCCTCGTGTCAGGAGGGATCTTCACCTGGCCTTGTAATAAGGCAATCACACTGCTGCAAAAGACACGTCCTGACACAAGACTCTGACACGAGGTAGGGGCATCCATTTCGAGGGTAGCTGCGGTGTACACTTGGGGTACGGTAGCTGCGCCAATAAGCAAGCAGCATGGCACCCAATAACCCTTAGAGTATCAACCCTTTAATAACCCTTGGGCCGGAAAAACGCGGACAAGCCATGCGCCTTGAGGAACTTGCCCGTGTAGAGATCAGCAGTCACCACAACCCCCTGCTTCGCAACAGGTGCACTCTGAGGGCCCAGCACGATTTTCCCGGCATTCGCGCCGGTGGACGCGTACCGCACCAACATATCCTTGGCCTTAGTCTTAAGCAGCGTGTTCGTAGCGAGCTTCCGCAGCTGCGCGCCCGTGTATTGTCGCAGCAGGACGTTGTATTTCCCGATGGCCTCCATTGCTGTATTGTTCTTTAGGGTTGGAATGCCGAGGCTCATTATGGCTTTGTTGGTGGGGATGAGTAGCGTGGTGTTGAAGATCTGAGGCAGCAATGAGTCGGGGTATTTGACTGTATTGTGGGGGGAGGGGAAAGGGGAAGAAGGGGGGATAGGCGGATGGGTTGGGAGGGAGAAAGAGACGGTGAACCGCAAGGCAATGGACGTGAGATGGTCGATGCGGCAAATGGAACGAAAGGAAGAGAACGAATAGGCGTTTGGAAACGATGTAACGCAATCCGTCGTGAAGGAAGACCGAGAATAAAACAGCGACCGTGCTTCGTTGCAAACTCGCATCTTAAAGCATCGACGCGCATCTTAGTGTGTTTTTTACAATATTTGTGCGTGTAGTCGCGCTAAGTTGTGCAGTTGATGCCACTTCAACATCCATCCGAATGTGCTCGTCCGGCATGCGTGTGACTTAAGGACACCGCTCTTCTCGCATGCATGAATCAAAGTACTCACGCATTCTGTCGATGCCTCTCACGAACGCCGAGTAGTTCTTCTGCTGCTTTACCACCGCCCTCAGCGCCGTGAGTTCTTTTCGGAATTGCGCCACCGTCGGCGCTGCGTCCGCGCAGACAGCCAGCAGCAGCAGAGCCGCGAGTAGAGAGAAAGTGTGTGAGCGTGAAAACGCCATTGCCTCGATGAGACTTGCTCCACGGTAAGCAGTTCGCGGCTAATATGAAAACTCCGAGCTTTAGTAACTGGGGACGGGCGGGGTGTCCTGCAGATAGCTTAAACTGGATATAACTGTACTTATGCGTTCTGATCGGGGAAACTATTTACCAGGACACCACAAAGAGAGAAGAATTAGTTCAAACTCAGATGAGTCACCTAACAAAGTATTCTGGGCTTCTTATAGACTGGGTCTGGCTTCCACGAAACAGGTGACGGTGTTTGGTTCGGTGGTGGCCGTCAAACGGGTGGTGGTCGTCCCTGTAACGTGTGCGTACCTTGTTGTTGGGTAGTGTGGTGTGTGCGACTGTTGTCTGGAAAATTGGGTTTGGGTTCTGTTAGGTTCGGTGTGGGAAGGGTGGTTCGTGCGGCGTGCGATGGACACAGAACGAGACGGATGGTCAGGAGTTGACGGACGGAACGCCAGTCGGAACGTAACAGTGCGAAACGCCTGGCGGCTCCGTGTGTTCTGATTCCGTGGCATTGGGCGAAGGACAAATCTCCGTGTCCCAGATTGGGGGCGGTTCGATTCTCCGACGAGCCGTAGTTCGACGTGTTTTGGAATTTGTGGCTATGAATGCTGGACCAATGACGCGATCTCACGTCGGCCTACGATAGACTCTTGTAAACTCCCTGCCGCCGACACCCATGTGTTCAGTACTGTAACATAGCGCCGACAAACCGCCATCAAAGCGTCAATGCTGACGTCGTTCGTTTTCCTGCATTGAAACTTCGACCAGGCGGAATGCCGAGAGCAATTTCACTACTTGAACCGATACAATCCTCCATATCTTTTTTAGAATGCTGTTACGGCTGCAATGAATCTAGGTAGCGAGGTAAAGGTAAAGGAGGGGGGAGAGCCCCCTTTGGGTTACCCCCGGCTGTATATCATAATCCGCCTACCCACTTGTTTACATGCCTCGCTGGGTATCGAGGTAAAGGAGTACAAAATGTGAGCGATGGCATGAGCGAACATTTATACGCGAAACATGCAAACGGTAACGCGGTGCGTGCGAGCTAGCTAGTGCTAGGCTGGCAACGAGGCTCGGGCTAGTCCCGAAGCGTAGGCCGACACGGCCGGGCCAGCGGTGCATGGTTTGGTGAAACAGTGCGCGTGAAGTTGTCGTTGCCCCGTTAGTAGCAACGAGCGAATAACGGTTGCTGCCATACGCGATGTTGCATGGTGCGTTAAGGAATGTCGAGAAAATTCCATACAAATGCCTGCTTTTATATGAGTTTCAAACGTCTCTTATCCCATTAGGTGCACAAAAAGAATGCCGAACGTGAGAGAAAACAGAATTAGAGGTTACATACGCTGATATATACTATATATTGTTACGAATAGTAATACTTGAATATTACTGTGCACTCCTCACCGTAGCAAAGCCGAAGCACGCACTATCGAGAGTGAAGACGAAAAGGCAAAAGAAAGGCGAAAGGACAGACGGTTACGAGGAGCATCTGAACCGTCGGGCAGACAGCATCAGGCAGCAGCAGTGGCGAGGATTCTGCCCGAACAGTTACGTAACCACTCGGAGTCGCACGGTTGGATTTCGCTGCAATAAGGGAATGTACCCCTTAGAGTACATGGCTAGTTAGGTCGTTTCGAATTCCCCTGTACTCATATTTATATTCCCTGTACTGCACGTTTTTATTATCTCAAGCATTTACATTCACTCTGCTATTGAGGTCAAGGGCCCACCAACATCACTTCTCTGCGTGCGAACCTTCCTGAGTAGATCCTAGGTCACGATCAACTTCTGATCGCAGCATGGTATGAGAGCGACTCAGGAATCCTTCGCACCGCCATCTCCGAAATCTGCGACATTCGGAAAGTGGCGTCCGGCACACAATCACGTGTAAGAATGGCCGGAGGATCTGGAGGTCAGACGAATCTGACGGCTGAAGCGCAGCCCAACCCGGCTGCGACAAACGAGGAAACGACGACGATTCCTTCCGCCGTCCTCGCACAACTGCTTCAGCGACTCACGAGCCTGGAGCAAGGGCTCCAGACATTGCGGAATGGCGATGCGGGAACTTCTTCCCAACCCACTCAACCGGCCCCAAACGGCCAAAACTCCGCCCCGCAAGGCTTCTCCCTAGATACGAATGGCTCAACCCCCAAGACTCCCTGTCCCAGCGATGAAGCAATTCTCTCCGCGCAATCAAGGTTTTTGAGCATATAAAAAATAAAGACAAGTGTGTGCTTTGACGGCAGATACTTTTACACCTGGAGCTTCGAGCTGGAGCTGCTGCTGCAAAACGCGCAGATTTATCATTATTTCGACGGGAGCTAATCGGGACCTGCTGAGGACACCAACGACGCAAGGACTCGCTATTATAACGAGTCCCTAATGGCGTACGGGATTCTTCTGCGTAACATGTCGCCGGCGGAGCAGCTGAACATTCGTTCATACAAGACATCGGCTGCCCCAGCCCTCGACGCTTGGCGCCACCTGAACGGCGTGTATCAGCCCAAGGACTCCGTCTCCTCGAGCCGACTACTCCAGCAACTGCTGGAAACTAAGATTACCTCAGGGGAGGAAGGACAACAGCTACATCAACCGCTGTCGGAGCCTTCGCGATCAAATCGTGAAGTTGGGAAGCTCGATTTCCGGGGAAATCTTCGTGAACATTGTGCTTCAAGGGCTTGGCCCAGAGTGGCGGCCCTGCAAGGCGCTCCTCCGACAGCAGGGGGTCATCTCGGAGGCCGCCCTTTGCGCCGCCCTTCTCGTCGAACAACGGGATATGGATCAGCAGCGACCAGCGCCACGACGAGAACGCGAACGGCTCGCCTTCTACGCCGACAACAACGAAGAGCGACGACCGCGGCGCCTCTACTGCAAAATCTGCAGAAACTTCGGGCATTTGGCGGATTGATGTAAGTTCCGGTCTCGCCCTCGCTAGACCAATCCGAGCAACTGGTCCGGCCGACAAGACGCAAGAAACGACACGCGTCCCGCCCAGGGGTCTCAACCCCCACCGCGCAACCTGAATCCAACAACTCAGCAGCAGCAGCAGCCACCACAAGCTGCCCCCGTCCGCAACGTCATGGGGAACATGACCATGACGAGCGGCTCTCGTCGCCCGCGCGCACGCTCACTCTCACCTGAGCCGGCGCCCGACCCAATCGAGGCATCTCCGAACAACAATCCATTCAGCACGCATCACGACTACAGCGACGACGACAACCAGGACTGGAATCTACCAGTTCCGCTGCTTGAGAGCCCTCCGCACGTACCTGACATGCGGCCGGCACCGATCGACTGGATCGCGCGCGAACAGTTTCTGAAGGTGGACACTCCACACATCGTCACTCCGCGACTGGCGCTGCTCGCGCGAAACGACAACACGCGCTACAACAACTGGTACCTGGACAGCTGCTGTGGGCAGCATATGGTGGGCTCCGAGCGTTACATTGTCAGATTTATATGACAGAGCTACTGTAGGCTATAGTGGGGTAGCACATATGGGGTACAGTTTTCTAGGGTTTGTATTTGTACCCAACTTTCCCTTAGTCATTCTCATTCCTGTTTTCTTAATTCACATGGTATAGAGCGGGTTCCTACATGGGACCGTTCCTTCCTAAGGGCCCACCATAACGATTTTTTTTTTTTTTAGCTGCCCGACGCGCATTGCGCCCCTGCCCTAAATTTTTTTTTAGCGCCCCCCCCCCTAGCGGCCCCTACGCGACCCCTACGCGGCCCCTACGCGGCCCCTACGCGGCCCCTACCCGGCCCCTACGTCGCCCCTGACGCGGCCCCTACGCGGCCTCTGACGCGGCCCCAACGCGGCCCCTGACGTGGCCCCTACGCGGCCCCTGACGCGGCCCCAACGCGGCCCCTGACGCGGCCCCAACGCGGCCCCTGACGCGGCCCCTACGCAGCCCCTGACGCGGCCCCTGCCGCGGCCCCTGACGCGGCCCCTACGCGGCCCCTACGCTGCCCCTGAGGCGGCCCCTGACGCGGCCCCTGGCGCGGCCCCTCCGCCGCCACTACCGCGGCCTCTACGCCGCCCCTGACGCGGCCCCTGCCGCGGCCCCTGCCGCGGCCCCTGACGCGGCCCCTGACGCGGCCCCTTCGCCGCCCCTGCCGCGGCCCCTACGCCGCCCCTGACGCGGCCCTCTCCTGCACTTGACGTGGCCCCTAGCGGCCGGCCGCTGCCGTCCCTGAGGCAGCAGCCGCCGCCGTCTCTGCAGCAGCAGTCGCAGCCGAACGGCCGAGCCGCCAAGCCGCCGAGCCGCCCAGCAGCCGAGCCGCCCAGCCGCCGAACCGCCCAGCAGCCGAGCCGCCCAGCAGCCGAGCCACCGAGCCGCCCAGCAGCCGAGCCGTCGAGCCGCCCTGCAGCCGAGCCACCCGAGCCGCCCTGTCCGGTAAGAGCAGCGCCCCTTTCACAGCACTGCCCTCACCCTACTGTTTGCGCTGCTAGTCTACTACTGTCATGGCTACCCCTAGTGTCCTCGCTTTTGACGCTGAGGGTCGGGCCATTGACATTGATGTCTGGATAGATGACCTGCAGCTTTTCTTACAGTGCGACAGGGCAGACGGCCTCTCCCTCTTTGACCTCACTTCTGGTGCCTCTCCTGCCCCCGCTGCTGATGCTGACGCCACTGTTCGCTCACAGTGGGCCACGCGCGATGCTGCTGCACGTCTTGCTGTGCGTCGCCACCTGCCTACCTCTGAGCGTGCGCACTTTAGCCAGTACAAGAGTGCTCAGACCTTGTACGACGCTGTAGTTGCGCGCTACTCCTCCCCTGCCACTGCTGCACTGAGCCGCCTCATGCTACCGTACCTCTTCCCTGACCTTGCTGCCTTTCCCACAGTCGCTGACCTCATTACGCACCTCCGCACTAGTGACACTCGCTACCGCGCTGCGCTTCCTGCTGAGTTCTGCGCCAAGAACCCCCCCCCCATGTACATCACCCTCTACTACATAGTCACCCGGCTCCCTGACTCCCTTCGC